TAAAACCAGAAGTTTACAGGCAATTCAACCTACTTAAAAATTTAAGTAATAAGCTATAACACATAAGGACCTAAATAAGACAGCTAGAGACAACCTCACCGATTTTTGTATATAAATAACTCACTAATGATACATAACTGTACACATCTTTCTTCAGTATCGCAGACTTGAAACAAACTCCCTATTTCGCCCACTATAAAGCAAACACAAAATTAAAACAAAGCCAATAGTGAATGCAAAAGAGGGAGTTCGTTTTAGGTTTTTTCCTGTCTTCAAAGTTTTGGAAGGTGCCCAAGAGGTGCCATAGCAATAAACCCAATTTTTAAAATTATCTGTAAACCGTTTATCAAAAAATAAAGAAATTGGAAATAAATTAAAGTATTAAGGCGACATAATGAATCGAAATGGCACACTTTTTTGCACACTTATCTGACTGTTGACTATAGTAGGCATATGGATAAACATTGATTGTCATATAAGTAAGTTGAGTTGACCCAATTTTGAAAAAAAAAACTCGAGGCGTTCTGCGGTATTTGAACCCGCGTATTAGGGAAGGCATTTACCGAAAGCCAACGCTATAACCGCTAAGCTACAAAAGCCCCACCTCACACCATGAATTTGACCACACTTGGGTCGATATTACGCGCCCAGCTTTACCGTTCGTATGTTTTCCGCCAATACGAAACAGCAAGCTGACTGCTCATGCAGGATTTCCTAAGCAATCATCTAGCATCCACCAGAATAACTACTAAGCTGAATCAATTATTAGGAGGTTTGGCAGCTTTGCTTCATTTGAGTTGACCTAATTGTGAAAAACCTCGAGGCGTTCGGTGGGAACGTTGGCTTCCGTTAAAGGCCTTCTCTACTACGCCGGTTTATATCCCGCCGAACGCCTCGAGATTTTTCACAATTGGATCAACTAAAATTAAGCAAATCTGTCAAAGCTCGTAATATTGTTAGTAAGCAAGTAAGTTAAAAAATAAATAAATTTTATATTTTAGGCCCAGAGGGCCTCATCATTGCAAGTATGTTCCTTTTCCGTCATCAACCAGCCCTACCTTATTTCCTGTTGCTTATTCGAGATTGATTTGCATGGTAGGGAACGATGTCATTAAAAATTTGGCGCAGTCCTTGAATGTGGAGACACATTTTTGGTGGGACCATATTTATCAAAACTTTTATTCGCTGTAAGTCTACATCGGCGAGTAAACCTGATGTCTTTGAACCCTTTTTGATTATCTTGCCTCCTGGTAATACTTGCCGGTTAATTGACAGTAGCTCTTAACACTTTGAGTGCGACGTGCGCCATATGTGGTGCATGCAATGGTGTCCCAAACTGCGACGTGCGCCATATATGGTACACGTCTAG